CGAAACCATTTTTGAACCGAACAGATAATTACGGTTTGGTTAGGTCAGTTACCAATGCACTTTTAATTTGGACAATAGCACTGCACCATGTTTACCTTAGACAAGTATATATGTCATAAAAGATATCCTATTACACAATAGCAATATATGGCATGGAATTAATACAGAAAAATATATTTGAAACAATGTGGTTCAGATTGGTTTTTCAATCTAAACCAAATCACTTAATACTCTTTGTTTGTTTGTTCGTATTTTTTCTTTTTATTTATTTGAACCATATTATGCACACACAATCTTCCAAAAAAAAAATAGGAATAATTAGCATAAGGACCAACATACCAATTGCCTCTCGGGTACTGATGATGAGTTGCTGCTGGTAGTGGTAACCAGTGTAAGTTCCCATCCAGTTGGGTCAAAATCTTTTGCTTGGGGAGCATTTGAGTCAACTTGTGAAGTGTCTGAAGCACGGTTCAGATAATTTAGTAAATTCACATATAAAGAACCAAAAAGAGAACACAACAGGAAGTCACTGAACAGTCCTGACCAGATGCCACTATGGCTAACGCCAATGCATTGCTTTCCTCAATGGCAGATGCATCTACTGTAGTGGCATTCAATCCCTGGAATAAAATTATATGCACGAAATCAATCAAAACTATTGATCGTAAAGGCCGACAAGCAGGTTTTATGTACAAAAACATGTGCACACAAGCTGACTAGGTAGATAAACAGGTACTTTTTGTAATTACATTGACTCCTCCAAAATTATATTATAAAAGTCCTCTTCAGTTTAGTATTTACTTTATAAGCACCCTCTATAACTTGAGAAACAAGACCAAATAAGCGAGGCAAAATTGGAAATTTGTACTTTAAGTATCCGAAGTATTAAGTGTGTGATTGGTTATGAACTCGATAAAAAAAAAAATCAGAACTCAAATTTAACTCAACTTTAACTCAACTCCACTATCCTCAATTTTATCAATATAATTAAATAATATCAACTGGTCATTCTTACAAATTACATCAACTTTAATTCACTATTCATCCACTCACATAATTTTAACTAACCATCAATTCCAATCATTTTTCTCCTACTTTTACATGAAATCAACTCTAATTATTTTATTTTAAACAATATTTTAATTTAAACTTAAATTCCCACTAACAACTAACCATACCACATTTTTTAAAATTAACTATGGTTAAAAAAAAACCAATCAAATTCATATCCAGTCACACCCTAAGCAACACTGACCAATAGATCATCTGCGTCCACATTGGTTGTGAAAGGAGGGGGAGTAGCCGTCTCAGCAGTTGAGATGGCAGAAGTCAGTGGCGGCAGCTGTTCTTCCTCTGACACCATGGCATCTTCTTCAGCAGGTGGCGCATCCTCTTGTCTATATGTCAGCATCAGCCTTTCGGGATATTCCTGAAAAAATCATATTCTTGATAAGTATAACAGAGGCCATCACGGACATTGTTTCAAACAGTATATGTATTGTAACAGAAAATACTGACCAAGGCCACAGTTGGAGCAAGAACCATCCTTGGTGCTTCTTTTATGTACTCTTCCATGGTCACTAGAAAGGATTGTGGTGGCTGAGAAGCAGGAAAACATTAGAAAATCAGGGAATATTTAATCGAGTTTAGAAACAAATATCTAAAAAAATAAAAACCTTTACTACATGCTTACCTCCCTCAAGACAGGGAACTGGAAATTCCTAGCAAGTTCGAGTCCTTTACAAACTTCATAGAAATCAGAAAGGCTAGCTGCCTGAATTTTAGAGCATATCCATTACAGGAACCAAAAAGCCAGTCAAAAGCCGTCGAAATTCTATTTCGCAACAACTTCAGAAATTCTATAAGAATCTAATGGAAATATAAATCATACCAGAACCTACCTGCTGCCCTGCTCTTTTATAAATGTCTAGGGCCTTAATGGCTTCGTGTCTTGGCATCTCAAAAAACTGAAAGCAACATTGGAGAAGGTCCAAGAGAGTCTTTCATTTGACTAGAAAATAAGAAGCCCATAAATTAATTATAAATTAGACACAGAAAGTCATATTACCTTGTCAATAAGATTGATTATCCCATCATTTATGGCGCAATATATTTTAAAGCTCTCCTTGAGCACCTAAGATCCAGAAAAGACACAGAAAGAGTAAGTCATGGTCACAACATTCTAAACAGACTACATAGAAGGAAAAAAATACAAGAAGGTTTTCTATCAACACTTCCTTTTTTTTTTCCTCAATTGCAAATGAAAGAACAAAGGCCTCCCCCCTTCCCAGTTCCCAACCTAGCTCATTCGCATCCTTTACCAGGGAACTCCATTTCGCATCAATTCATCATTTTTAATTTTCTCACAACCTTTGGATTTCAGCTAAAACTGCGCTATCATACACATCTGGTGATAGAAAAAGAAGTTTAAAGACCACATACCAAGGCAAGCGCATACTGAATAATGTAATTGCCCACAGCTGCCCCTTCAGGCTGAAATCAGTAACAGTCAGTTGAAGTTACATTCAAGGTTCATTAAAAAATCACAAATCACGAACAGTGAAGGGAAATAACAAACAGCAGGTTTTGGCTAAAAAGTATAGTAATTGAGAAAAGCTACCCGGCATCCAATAAGACGATACAGAAGCTGCTGCAAAGCAGGCAACTGTTCTAAAAGTTCTTCACTGTCCAAGTCTCTTGTTCTACTATAACCCTGCGAACAAAATATTTAGACATGAGATTCTCGTCATTTATAAAGTCTAAACAATAAAACTAACTTTGGGTAAAATTATTTAAAACACAACATCTAAATGAATTACGCATGAAAATGATAATATTAAGTTAACTTCCACTTACAGTCTGACTCTCAAATAACCAGAACATCACTAAATATGCAATTTACTTTTACATGATTTCGGTAGAAAGTTATTTCTAGAAAAACATGTTAAACAATTCAGCATCATATAATATATTTCTATATACACAATAAGTAAAAAATAAAAAAAAAAATAAAAAAAATTAATAAAAAAAAAGACAGATACTTTACTGTGAGGAACTATTGTGTGAATACTATCTTTGAAACTGATAGCATACCTTATCTTGTCCCTGTGCAGGTCTAGGAAGACGCTCTGCTTCAATGTCATACTTGAGAACCCTAAAGCATTCTAACCGTTGTTCCAGAAAGAGCCCATACGTTCTTACCCATGCAGAGCAATCCCATGCTGAAGAGGACAAGAAATAAGGATAAATTTTCAGCTCTAAATGGACACTCATTTTCTCACTTTCCATTATTAAATTAATGTGTACTGACCAATGGGGCTCGAATCATCCTTGAAATTGGACATCTGAAGCACACGACCCCTCTGTTGGAAATTCAGGAGTTCCTCCTTAAACACGAGATCACCTTCTCTCAAAGTCCTATGAATCACTATTAAAGTCTTCAAGGCAACCTGTTTAAGAAAGGAAGGACAATCTAAATAGTTATTATCACACGTGTGTTTGAACTCTCATCCCCCTCGTTAAGCAAAAGGACTGAAACACTACAGAGAAACATGAGATTCTAATTGAATCTTCAGAAAGACTAAGCTGAAAGACACATAGGAAAAGAATTGGCTGACACGTAAAAGCATCAGGCACAATTACACAAAGATTCATACCGTCCAGTTATGAGTTTTTGCCAGTCGCCTCGAAAGTGCATGTATACAGTACGCAACATCAGCCCGGGGCCGCATAGATGATGTGGCAATCATAATTTCTGAAAAAGCATCCACAAAATAGTAACAGCATTGCCAGTGCACACCCTTTGAACAATTTCTCAAGCTGAAAGAGAATAATTTCAGTGTAGAGACTAGTGCAAAGAAGAGATTGTATCTGATGGATACATTTCCACCAAATCTCTAACACCCCAAGAAGAAAAACACGTCCTTACACAATTATTTTCTTATACTAAAAGAGATCAACATTAATGCAAACCAGCATTCTTGCTTGTCCGATGGTGAGATTTCCACCAAGTCTCCAACACCCCAAAAAGAAACGCTCGTGTTTTTCTTTTATGGAATATGAAAGCTGGAAATTTCTGGAGTTCTCGATAACAAGATAACTCTCCTAAAATGATTCTCATAAAATGTAAGCCTCTCCACACCCATCCTAAAGGAAAACCAACATTACGTTCCACCCGATGAATCAATAAACAACTGTGTGAAAATATCACCATGTGATATGTACTCCAAAAAAAAAATAATAATAATAATAATAATACATAGGACCAATTATTCCTCACAAACTGCATGAAACTGAAAACAGTTCACACCACAGGAATTAACAGATCTAACAAAACGAAAGAACTTGCAGAAAAGGGAAAACAGACAACTCACTTCGGAGGTGTCTCTCTTTGGGTGGATGCTCCACATGATTTGTAGCCTTCACGATTGCCACATCCATATCCTATTTTTAGAAACCACAAAAACAAACACTTCTAATGAAGAAGACGAAGCAAATAAAAAAAAAAAAATCAAAACCCCATGAACTAGATTATATGATCTTCACACCCTGACTCTTGATTGCCACTCTACGCTTAATCATCGAACACAAACCTCAAAAACAAAAAAAAAAAAAAAAAAAAAAAAAAAAAAAAAAAAATTGTCGATTGAAAAGTGGATTCGTGGATTAAACCTTGAAATCGGAGTTGACATGGGCAAGCCCAACTTTAGTGTGGTCTTTGAGAGCGCCGTATGCTTTTCGCCATGTCTGAAGCGTTCCCATTTTGCCTTCAAATCGCCTCTTTTTGTTCCCTTCTTCTTTTCCTTCTGCTAATTTTGTTACAGCAGATACAAATTTCGTGGTGTTTTATCAGTGTCTATGGCCTAAATGGGTTTTGTGGAATGAGAGAGATTAAAAAGAATACAACTGTTGTGGTTTATTGATTCGCTGCGTCTTCTGGTTAATAATACTGATTCGCTGTGCTATGTGTGTCTCGTTTTCCTTCTTTTTTTTAAAAAAAAAA